ACATACATATATACATACATATACAGATAAATGTGACCCTGCTGTGAAACCTTGTATAGAAACCCCTGTGACCCGGAACTCCGGAACAAGCTGCTACCGGGGGCGGCTGAAGCCAAGAGGCATTGATGAAGGTAAACGTGGAGAACACCGTGAGGGAGAGACTGCTCAAGCCGGTGTTGAATTCCTGGGTGTAGGGTTTAGGGTTGAATTTTACGGTTTAGGGTTGAATTCCTGGGCGCCGATCGGATTCCAAGACAACCACAGCATCATGGGACCGCACACCATAAGCCCTAAGCCGCACAGAGGTCCCTACTGTTGCCTCAAGCCTTAATTCTTGGGCTTAGCACCAAAGTCAAAGCACTGTAAAGCTTGTTCCACACTCTGCATGGTGCCAGACCTCTCGGGTTTGAGCTTCATCGCAATGCGAAGCTCCCTATTGTCAACGAGACAGGATGAACTCGCAAGAACAGCATAGTTTGCAAACCTCGACACCCTCCATGCACCTCATGTTCGACGTTCTGTGACTATGTGACTATCGTCGAGTGTCTACTAATACTAACAAACTCCTCACCAGCACATGAAAGCGAAGGAGGTCTTGGAACACACCAAGGCTGTGAATTCTCGCCAGGCTTTCTGAACACGAGTCTGTCCCCATGTTGTCATGTCAGCTATTGCCACCCACAAACAAGCCAGAATGCTCTCCAGAAGCATCACATCCATGACTTATCAAGATCCGGTCTGGCGGCAGCACTGAGGCACGAGGAGATGGTCAGGTAGATGGCGCCACTGTTCTTGGACAATTGGAGCTTTCGAGGCAGAGGCTAATGTCTGCTCTCTAGCGGCGGTTGCCCCGCCAATGTAGGATCTCCCGTGATCTCCCTTTAGGAAGCTTGGCAGTGAAACGCAGCACATCGGTTTCAACTGCAAAACAGGCTTTCATCAGAGCACCGAGGTAACGATCACAATCGTCACAATGAGGGTGACCATCATCACCAAAAGCAGCTCACCAAGCAGCATTATTGATCGCCGTCATCATCAGAGCCAGTGCTATTTGTGCAGCCATCTTCACCATGTTGACCTTCATCAACCTCCTCCTCATCATCAGCACCACCACCATCATCACAGTCATTGTAGCTACTCCATTCCTCGGCCACCGGAAGACAGTGTAATCCTGACAACTCTAATACCACAATATCGCGAAACTGCAACAGTTTGAGCTTCGTACTAAGATCTTCCAGTGTTTACCAGAAGGAGATCTTGCAACTGAAACTACTTCCAGCTCAGTGCTTGCAGGGGACAACGTCAAGCTGCTGGCGACTTGATACGCAGGCTGGCTAATCCAAATACCATATGTAATCCTTATATACCCCTTAGATAGTCTCATAAAGCCTCTACATAACCCCAAGGTTCCCTTTAAGGGTCCCTCCTTTAGTCCCTTAATGAGAGAAATGTCTCTTCACAGGGATGCCGGCAACAAGACGCTACGGTTTCCAATAAGCCGAGATGCTGTTTCCAATAGAAAACCTCGCGGTGCGGGAAATGCGTGATTTCTGCAGAACACAACGACATTTTTGTTGATACCCGAGCTTCTAATGCCGAAGAGACACAGCTGCTAAGACAACAGCCACCTTCACGACATCATGAGAGCCCCCTGGCTTCTTCAAATGTCTTGGAATCCCAGTTCCATACAAAAGTCCGGCCGATGAACACGATGACTTCATGGGGAACATTTGTTTGAACAACCCACACTCGCCCAAACAACTTTAAGCCCCCGAGCCTTAAAGCCCGACACCTAAATCTGAAAAACACATGAAAACTCTACAACCCTAGCTCTCAAACTCCTAACCCTCAAACTTCTCCAAGCAACAAGGAGGACAGAGGGCATTGCCACAGGAAGTAGTCCCGAAGGTCGAGGACATGTCTTTGGTGTAGGTGCCGTCGAGCAATTGAAACTTGGCGGGCAAAGGAGTTGTGGCTTGGGGAAATCTAGGGGCTTCGTGAATTTGATGAAGGTTTTGGGGTGTGTTACGGTATCCCTACAAGACGAACCTCTAGGGGTGTGTCATGGTATGCCTACAAGAGAGAATCTTAAGGAATAGATTTGGTAAATAGTCATGCTTCGACATTAGATGGGATTCGGCGGTGCAGGGAGAGGACACTGGCATTTAGGGTGAAAGAGCTAGGCTCAGCAGTTGATCCTTTGGGTAAGCTTGCTCTCCAGCCGGCTATCCGTTTTTGTCCTTTCGCGCCCCGAACCCTTGAGTCAGCATTGCAGCAAGGAAGCAGCAAGAGCCACGCGCAGACGCAAGCTTATCTCGAGCCTCCACGGAATCTCTTAACCGCGATCTTGACAAGTCATGCGCAGAAAGGAGTGGAGCAGTTCACTGTCTAGCTGGAGTTCAAAAACCCTTGAAGTTGATCTTCGCTTGGAAGCCCCATGGCTCCTGCCCACACATTCACAGCGGCTTCAGGGCTTCAGGGTGTAAGATTTAATAGGCGTGGCGGTTCTGATTATCTTGGGCTGTTGGTAGGACAAGCAGCGCATCCTGTCTGAAAGAAGTCAGCGGTGGTCGTCAAGAACGAAGCCTGTCCATCATCGCAAAAGTTGTGGTTCATGAGCTCGGATGAAATAAGTTAAGCTAAATTCGGCATGGATTTGGAAACTACAGAACCGACCTGCTCAGTCATGAACACCTGATGTCTGTAGCACCCCGTGCTGTCAAGACTCCTGTGTTGCTCACAAAACAAAACTTTGCAAATGAGAAAGCGAGCGAGAGAGACGGAGACAGGGAACAACAAATACCTCGCCCCTCACCCATGACTCTTCCATGCATACGTTCTCCTCGACCTGTCCGGCCTACGCAGAGCCATCCCAAAATCACCCAAACCCCCCCATATTCAACGCAATGTCTGCTCTAAAAACCCATGGGCGGATGTCCATGACTCACACATTGGCAGATGTCCTTCCCCAAGGCTCCATGTGCCCAAGAGGTCTCTACTTCGGCCTTGAAGTACCTACAATAGACCCCTCTAAGGCCCTAAGCCCTAAGCATACACTATATGGCTACATGGAGCCTTCGGGCTTCGGGGCTGCAGAATTCGGTTTAAGGTCTCGACTCTCACGCTCGCACAAGGCAGGCAAGGATCCGCATGATTCGGTCTCCGCTGAAAAGACTGAAGGGAGATTATGCTTTTAAGGTTTAGGGTTTAAGGTTTAAGCTTTGGGGACAAGTTTTGATCCCAACCCCTACGTAGAGTAGAAGCCAGAGTGCCAGAAAGCTCGAGCAGATTATCCTCATGCCCCTGAGGCAAAAGAGAGGGCCTTCCTCGGATTCACTATACACTCCCAATGCAGTGACTTCCTCTTTTGGGTTGCCTGGTTTCATAGTTCCAGGGTCCTACCTCATCCTATAACCTATACCGGACATGAACCAACAAAAACTATACCCTAAAACCGGTAAAGCCTCAACCCTAAACTCTCTCTAATCCCTAAGCCCCCCTAAGCCTATAACCGTAAGAGATTGCTGAACCGGACAACAAGAACGAACTCTCGGAAACTCTCGGCTGAACTGTCTGCCGAGAGGCATAGCCAGACCTGGGGTTCAATATAGGGGCCTTAATACTTAATATAGGGTTTAGGGTTTAGGGTTGGGGCCCTTTTTTTTACCATAGTTATAATAAGGAGTCCCAAAACATTTCTATAGGTAATTCTTTAGGCCCCGGTATTAGGGGTTCAGTAAGGCTTACTTGTCCAGTATCTCGGGGAACCACAGGTTAACCTTTGGGAAAACATAGGCCCACAAAGGTTAATGGTTGCCGACTCTACTAAAACACTCTACTACTAAACACGATAAGGCTTTTTACCACTCGCAGCTCGGAGTCCAAGCGAGGGCAATGGGAAACTAGTGTCAACTCCACAATGTCACCAGTGCCACGGTCTTGCAAATAGGGCTTTGGGGCCCGTTATACTGTACTTAGAATAAGGAACCCCCCAAATACAAAAGGTGTAATTATTTGGCGCCTACACTAGGGCCCTTTATTGTGTTTCAAAGGCTAGGGCCATGTGGGCAGTCGAGGTTTCATTCACGGACAGCAGCATGCGGCATAAGTTGCCACACAACATCAGCCGCGCGCGATGCTGAACATTCGGATTGAAAGCCTCAACCCTATACCTCGAACCCTGACCCCTCAAACCCTTTGCGGATTGTGGCTTCCGGCGCGTGTTTGGGGAAGGTTGTAGGGATTCGGGGTGGGGCTGGACTGGGAGGTGCACCAGTTCTACTCCGAGCCCATGCTATGCCCGGAGCTTGTGAGGAAAATACAACATCTATGGGTACCCCAGGGTTCATGGACAAAACTGACAAAACTGAGATCCAAGATGCTGGAGACACGCCAGAAGGATTACCAGCAAGGCGATCATCGCATCGGACCTGCGCCGATTCAAACATGAAGGCGCAGGCCTCTGCATGTGTTTCGCCATAACAACCTCTGAGCCCTCAAGCCCGAAACCCTCCTCTAATCCCTGAGGCTGAAAATGCACTGCTATCAAAGGACCTGAACCCAAAACCCTAAACCCCTGAACCCAAGACCCGAACCAACCCCCCTTTTTGCAACAGGCCTCGTTGTCCAGCAGCCCGATCTAGCCAAACACACACTCCCCTAACCCTAAACCCTGAACCCGAAACCGCCAAACCTTAAACCTGAAAGGACCTTCCATTAGCAGAGGCGGACGTTGACCATGGCTCTGGCAGCATATGCCGGCATGAGACTGCTCTTTCGGTCTGCTGTTTAGTTGAGGGTTTGGGGTTTCAGGTTTGGGGTTGTAGGTCTAGGGTTTGGGTTTTAGGTTCAAGGCTTTAGGTTTAGAGTTCAGGGCTGGGTTATTTTCTAGCTTGCTGTGTAGAGCTACGCTAGAAGGCTTAGGGCAAAAATCATGACGGATGCAATTGCAGTCATAGTTTTTTAGTTGGCTGAAGCACGCAAACATGCATAAGTCGTATCTATGTCGTGCGCACAACATATGGAAGTCAGATGTATCATACTGTAGGGCCACTGTAGAATACTGTAGAGGCATACGTTGTCTTGATCTCTGAACTTGAGCTTGACAACAAAATAAATCATCACTTTCCCTTCATCTCCGACTGACAGATTTCTTTGCTCGTTACTGTGGGAAACTTGTTCCAGCGGAGTCGTCCGCGCATCTTGCAACAGCACCTACCGATCGCATGACATTCAGCAGAGCTCCTGCGCGCTCAAACCTGACATGCGAAAGACACTCCTCATGTTGTGTTTATTATAGTATAACGGGCCCCGAAACCCTGTTCTAATTATTAAGGCCCCTATATAACAATCCTTTCGGCAACCTTTGGGACAATTGTGAATCGCGCTTTAACAAAGATTTCACCACCCAGAAGGAACTGCGCCCAGAGGAACTGTGACAACCTCCTCAAGCCAAAGTCAAGCCTCTGACAGGATGTACCCATCAGTATGGGCATATTCGTACGAGAAGTGCCTCTGAATCATTGGTTACGATGGTTATGCCTTCTTCATTCCTGAACTGTGGATTGCTGTCCTTTGCTCATGTTCTGTCTTGTGTTAAGTACTCGTCCCAAAGCTAGCTATGAGCCTGAGGCAACCCATGCCGGTGCGACAAGTTTGTGTCCATATTAGTAGCACGCCGGCATTCCGCTACTCTGGCTACGCTGTGTCTTGCACCCCTAGTACTGGTACGGCTGGCAAGACCATACTCATCCTGCTCCTACTCGTCCCACTCCGACTCCTACAACTACTGCTGCTACTACTACTACTACGACGACGACGACGACGACTACGATTACGACTGCGGCTACGGCTACGGCTACGACTACGACTACGACGACCACTGCTACGACTTCGGCCAGGATGACAAATCGGATCACTATTTCGCGAGCCCCCCCGGGAAGAAGACACACCCGCCTGTAGAACCGCTGTCCTGGCCAGACAGAGCCTCAAAGACGATTTAGGATTTAGGGTTTAGTTTTTGGGTTTAGGGCACCAGGGACTTTGAGCGAGCGAAGATGAAAAGAGTGTACATAGGTTTTGGACTGCGAAGTCTTACTTGCTTCTTTTGCTTCGGTTCTGAACGGCTTGGGTTTGGGATTCTTCCTTGCAGCGCGGCGGGTAGGTCGCTCCTGTCTTTACAGATGCCGCACCAGCATTACAGGCCATGGCAGCAAAGCACGTGCGATCAGTATTCCTATGTGATGACGAAGGGTTGTGCCCGCATTGGCTCCCGAAACAACCCTAAACCCTAAGCCCTAACACCACAAAATCCAGAAAACTACCGAGGACCCCGGCTGTGGCGCGTTTTCGGCTGCTTGCTGAAGGACCTCAGTTGGGCAGGGTGAAGGGCCGACTCTCAGAATGCCACGACTTGTGTCAAATGCCGATGGCTACTTGAGCTTCCTGATGATAGGGTGGGCCTACGCAACCCTAAAGGGCTTTTGGAAACCCCTTTCAACGGAAGGTTTCTAGGGCAGTCTAGAGGGGTGTAGGAAGTGGGTTGAAGCACTCGAACATAGGTGTTGTCCGGGTCAAGTGCTGCTAGTCCTAGTGTGGCTGCTGGTGTGAGGTTTGGCGATCTGAGCAGCTTGGGTTTAAGGGCTAACTCAGGGTCTATGGCCATAAAAAAAGGCCTGAAACATCCAGGGGCTCATGGCTATAGCCTTCCACATCTTCGAGAGGTCTGCAGGTAAGCGAAAGCACAAGCGGCTCCTCAATACCATCTATTCCAACCCTCCTCCTCCTCCTCCAGTGGCTGCGGCTGCTGGCGTGTTGTTTATTCGGCTGGTGTTCTTCGTCCTCCTCATACTGCTACTATCATTTTTGTGATGAAAGCCTCATCATGACGGTGAGAATGATGTGCATGAAAATTGCCGGTGGTTCGATACTGCCGTGAAGCGATTTGTCATTCTTGCCGTTCCGTGCTAGGTGAAGCTGCTAAATCTCAGAATTAACAAGCCACGATTGTCCCGATTGCAATGACCTCAGTCATCAGTCCTCAAAGCGCACTGCTCAGCTGCGCACCCTGTCTTGGCGTCAAAGTAGATTGGCAGTTGCAGCACCTGGGATGCAGGTGCAGCTCTGGCCCTCCTCCTCACCCGCCTGTCCTTACCCTACCCCAGCAATCCTGGCTAATATAGCGGCCTTAATAATTGGAATAGGGTTGCGGGTGTATTCTACTATAATTATAATAAGGAACCCCCAAAACCCTATTCTAACTATGAAGGCCCCTACATTAGACTTCAGAACCCCGGCACAAGACACTCTGGGAGCCAAGCGGAATCGCCGCTCGGGGCGTCAATGATGCAAGTCAGAAGCACCTGAGGTCAGGTTCTTCGACCCTCAAGTCCACGTAGGAGTTCTGAGCATGCAGAGCTAACTTTAAAAGCTCACCACCCTTTTCAATTCCCTGCTGAAGCCAAGTCTGGGCAGAGTGGCGCCGGCAGGAAGCAGGGCAAAGAGCTGCTGCAGCTCAGTGTCGTAGAGCAGGTTGGTTGGGAATGGGTCCTCCATGCGACTTCCGGTGGGAACAACTCAAAACTTTACGAATACCATGACCGCAAAGATTGTTATCAGGTTTGTTGCGAGTGCTTGGCGCATCACTGTGGTGGCTGTTGTCACTATTCTGCCGTGTTCTGTACCTCGTTTGTGCTAGGTACTGAACGCTGTCCCGAGATGATGCTAAACCCGAAAACCCTACATCTACAATCGACGGACTTGAAAACAGAAAACGAAACAAAGCAACAAACTCCCATCGTTTAGTGTCGTCGCGCGCTCTACATGCATGGTTGCCAGTGCAGTATCATGTACTAACATTACAGTCTAGCGGTTAGGACACCCCAGATCCTCAAACCACAATGCTTAATTACCACACTTTACGAACAAACTCTTGTGCAAAAACGTAAGACCACCATATATAGACCCTGAATAACGTGTTAGGATTAGGGTTCAGGCATCCGAGACAAAATTCAGTACCACAATTACGAAAACGCCCCTGCGAACTTGGTTCTTTGCCTAGTCTAGATTCGAATTGTGGTCGGCATTGGCTCTCGGTTATCACAAGGTCTCTACATCTGCCACCTTGCCGACCAGGAAACCAATGTAAAAAAGTCCTACTGCTGATGATATAAACCCTGCATTGCCTTAAGGACTGTAAACTATGGGAATTATGGTATATTCCTTGTTACGGGTAATGCACGATTTATATTAACTGCCGTAACACCGAAGAAGCCAAAGCCGTGGGTCCTCGAGATCGGCAGCCAGGAGCCTGAGAGCTGATCCGTACAAGAGAGTCGTGAGTCATGGAAACTCTTGGAGCTCAAAAGATACAATACAAAATACTGACATATGTTATTATACAAAGTATAACATAATTCTATGAAGCAACAGAATACAATTTAATCTAATTTCATATTATATACGAAGCAATAAAGCAGAAAGCGCAATCATACAACATAATACTTCAGGGGCTTACTTGTCCAGAGCTTTAGGCTTTAGGGCGAGGCTGAGGATTGTGTTAGGGATCCTTGAGGTAGTGTTGGGGGTCTGTGCCTAACTATCATATACTCTCCCGGATACTAGCGTATAAGCTACAACGACCATTAAGCTAAACCCACGTGCTCAAGTATTAGGTCCTTTGATGTCCTTTCCCTAGGGCTCCAGTTACCTAAATAGTAGGTTACTAACCATACATTATGTACCCCAGTAACCTACTATTTAGGTAACTGGAGCCCTAGGGCTTTGGTAAGGGTTTGGAGTTTCAGGGGTCCGCGGTTGCACGGCGCCAAGATCCTTCGCAAGGAACGTGCTGTCAGTTTGAGGATCTTGGCATCCACTACGGCGCTCTACGGCAGACGCGAACGAATAAAAGGCCGAAACTAGAGGCCGTCTACAGGATCGTCCCTAGCCCTGAAGTTTGAAGGTTAATTTAGGGCTTATAAGGAACTAATATCTAGACTCTAGAATACTCTAAACTTCGGAAATACAACAGCAGCACGTTGAACGACGAGTCGCGCATGGTCCAGCTCGTCCCGACGGTCTGTCAAGGTGCTGGTTGTGCCTGGCTTCCGGATTACTACTTGCCAGGCGAAACACTGCAGTTCCTGAAAGGGAGCTGCCCAGCCAATTTGAGCCTGACTGGATGTCTTGTTGGGTCATGTTAGTACCGTTATGTCGTTAGGCATGCCTGCGTGTCGCTGTCACCGTTCGGCCTAAACCACTGTAAGCCTGAGACGATCACAATCTCCTGCAAATATAGTGAATGGTAGGCTGGTGGAACCCCACAGCCCGCTTTCTCAGAAGCCCTCCACAAGCTGCGCCCTGCACTTTCCTATGGCTCTGAGCCTGCCATGCAGCTGCTGTAAAAACCTCAGGCCCACGCCGGCACCTACGGTACGCCCTTCCGCGCTCCGACCCTAAACCGAAACTCAAAACTACACGAGCAGCCCGAAATGTAACCGCAGTTCGTTTCCCCGAGCCGGTGGCTTCTAGGTGCGAGCGAGGCGCTTAATCCGTGGCCCGAGAACACGAAGGCTAGGTTGTCCCCTGAGACATGGATCAGGTTTCAACAACGAAGGGACTTCGGGTAATTACCCTGCGCAGGAGACTATGTATTCGGGTCCCCCATATGAACTCCTAGCCAAAGTCCTGCGGCGGCAGGTGTCTGAGAAAGCTTCGAAGCTAGGGATCCGCCTGAGTTGTTATCTACTTCCCCTACTTCACAGGTACAGTGACTCCCAAACAAGACCATGAATACCCCCCCAAAGTTGATTGAACAGCTAGGTGCAGTTCCCATGAGCGGGGCCGCCGTGCACTTCACTCTAGAGTCGTGAGAATGTGGCTCTTACCCGTGGCTACGCATCTTCAGCAGAACCGGAAGCTGCGCGATGCTTCGTTGGCAAACAGCGGTCACAGTTCGGAATACCAATGATAAGCAGCGGACTCCAAGAAGAGTTACGGGGGAACAGTCATGCACCGTGCTGCAGCCCATGAGGTCAGAACACTAAACCTCGTCCCAGGCCATTTTCGAGCGATGCCCAGATGCATTCAAGAGGACGAGTCAGGCTGCTGCCGGAGCGAGGGTGGCCCATGAAAAGACACACCAGGGTTGAGAGTTTCGGGCTTAGGGCTTAGGATTTAGGGTTGAGAGTTTCGGGCTTCAGGTCTAATGTTTCTTGAGGTTTAGGATAAGGCTTGCCACTGCCAAGCAGCATGCGCCGACTGCACAATTAAAAGGCCAGCGTGCTCCTTGGGAGGGCACCCGGCTGCAACTCGCCGCAAGTCTTGCGCCGCAAATGTAGTGTGGTGCGGAAGCCTTTCAGAACTGAACCCTAAACCCTAAACCCTAGGGGTTGGTCTTCATTACTACTGCGTAGAAGCTCACTCGATGTTGACACTTTCACACCCCCTGTGAAGGCGAATGCTGTGCAATGGCTGCTGTATCGCTCTCCGACTAAGTAATGTAGGGGCCTTAGAAATTAGAATAGGGTTTGGGGCTCGACTATAGTAATTACAATAAGGAGCCCTACCCTAAACCCTAAACCCTAAACCCCTAAACCCTAAACAACATTAGTAATTACCTGTTCTAGATAGGCGTTAATATTACTTCTTACAGCTGGCGACCTCTGACCTGTCAGTGCTTCTCGCACACGCGCTTTGGGATTTAGGGTATATCTAGGGTTGAGGATGGGTTTAGAGTTTAGGGTTTAAGGCCACCTGTTGCATTGACATCTTGTGCGCATGCAGGTGATGGGGCACCAAAACTCTTAGCTACATGATGCGCATGCTACTTGCAGCGGGGTGAATTTGTCCAAAACGGTCTAAAGGGCCCAGCTTGCTAGAGCAGTGACGGGTGCATGTTAATGGCAATGAACCTTTCGCATACAAGCCTCTCGCAGTCGTGCCGGGGAAGCGGAAAAGGCATGACGGCATTGTGAACTAAACTCAGCACATGGATTGCCTCTCCCGAAGCCTGGATGTCATCGTCCACTCCAACTCAACAACTGCAGATACACAGAACCTCACCATCTGCAACATCGAAAGGTCCACCACGCCCGGAACTCTGAACTGCCCTAAACCATAAACCCTAAACCCTAACCCTAAACCCAAACCCTAAACCCCTACCCTAAACCCTAAACCCTAAACGCCTAAACTGCAGACCTTCACTTCACGAAAGCCCGGCCCTTCCAGTGTAGTGCAGGGCTCTGACTACTAGAATAGGGGTTTGGTATATTACCTATAGTAGTTCCTTTTTGGGGATACCTGAAAAGAAAATGGGTTAAGCAAAAAAAGGAACTACAATGGAGACTATAGGTACGATGGTATGATCACAAGACAGACGAATTTAATTCTTCAGACGCCTGTGCTACACCGTGTCACTTCCCTAGTGAGCCCCGGGCTATTGAATGCCACGTCTTGTGGAATTCCCTGTGCCGTTCCTCTGACTGTACTTGTTGACACGGCCAAACATAACTACCGAACCTAATTACTCACATACTGCTACAAGTAGTAGCTGAATAATTGCTGTTCGACTAGTTTTCTTATGGGAGCGTGTGGAAGGATGGATTGAAGATGCGATGCTTTTTTGCCTACATAGCCCGCCGAAGCAAACTCACAGAATGCTTTCTGGCAGTCGAAATAGTTCTCGCACTACTGCTCCTCCACTTGAAAATAATGCGACCACGGAAGTAGCGTAGCACCAGTAGCCGTAGCAGCAGCAGCAGCAGCTGGAGTACAAGTACTGGTAATGGTAGTGGTAATCGTCGTCGTCGTGGTATCGATAGCGGTAGCAGTAACTAGTTAGGAAGGGAAATAGCAACTGCCTGGCATACTCTTTGTCGTCCCAGTCGTCGTCGAAGTGGCTTTCCGTCGCTTATGGATTGGCGTTTCGAAACGGTAGAAGTAGTAGTCGCCGCGAGTAGTCGGTGTCGTGGTAGTCGCCGTCGTCGTAGTGGAAGTAGTATGTATACACATCGAAGCTCCACGACCTAAGGTTTTGCCCGCATAATCGGTCAGATCTGGGCACAAACATCAATGCCGAAGCACTGGCGCATTCCCCGCAGGAAGACTCCGTGTGCAGCAACCAGGAAGCCTGCAGTCTGACCCCATTAGCTATTATATAGAAATTTCAACTCATCCACGACACTCCGACCCAAAGCTCCAGTCAAGGCGAACCTCGAAATAACCTGGAGTATACGGTGAATGGACTTTAGTCGTTAACATCTTCCCAAGGCTAAAACCAGCGACGCTTTTTACTGCAAGTTCTTCTGGTGCCACAGGTCATCAACCTGGTACTTCCAACGGCATCAGCCGCATTGTTCATTGGCCCATGGCCTCCATGGCACTTCCGGCCAAGACTCTACTTTCTGCTGCAGGGGGGGGGGAAGGGGCGGGAGTGCTTTAGGGAACAGGGTTGCGTGCTTCATGTAGAGTAGGGACATGGAAATGCCAGGGAACTCATCTTTCTATAAGAGGGCAACGACGGGGATTGTAAAGTCGATTATCACTTAGCTGAGGAGTTTGCCAAACATGAACATCGTCATCAGGGAAACTTATAAGAACATTTGCTATAATGCAGGGTCTCCGGAACATCCGATGCCCTGAAGCCAGCCGAAGGTGGTCGCTGTACTTGATAAAGGGTTCCGAATGCTGAAGCCGCGTCTATGCCATCTATATACCAAATTGCTCTAGCTGATGGTTGTAGTCCGGGGGACAGTACACGTAATCAAGAACCTGGCTCGTAATCAAGAACCTGGCTCGTGCTTCGATTTAGCTATACAGTCAACCGCTCCGAGCGCAGAAAGAACCATCCGTGCATCCATCCTGCGACTCATGCGCAGGCCTACGACCGATCCGTGTGCACAGCAGAACCGGTACGCTGCACGTCGGCGCGATGCTGCAACTCTGAGCAGAACAACGAACCAAGCTTTGTGTAACAGGGGAGATCACCTCAAGGACTGTAATTCCGAGAAGCGCGGCTGTCCGCTACCGCGGCCAGCATCTCATCGCGCTGTCCCAGCACTCTCAGAGAGCTCAGACATTCATGTGTTCAGAGGTGTCACGGGTGATAGCGGGAGCGTCCTTGGCTGTGGCCATTGGTCAAACCACCCGAGACTCGGAAGCCTCTGAACCAAAAAATCTCTGAGCGAACTTGTCATTTAGGGGCCTTGATAATTGGAATAGGGTTCTGGGGCCCTTCATGCTATAGATATAATAAGGAAACCCCAAAAACAGCATTGGTAATTATTTAGGCCCCTATAGCATTCCCTCTCATGTCTCCAAACCTTGTCCTCGGATTCAAGAAACCCTTTCACACACCCTGAAACTGTGGCCCAACGACTTCCTGAAAAGGGCTTCTGGCTCATAAGGCTCAGATAAACAGGGAGGTAGGACGCGTCTGGATAGAAACCGTCTGGGGTATAGGGTTTAGGGTTTTGGGTATAGGGCTTAGGGTTTTTAGGAGTTTAGGCCCTACCTGCTGCACTGGATCCCCATGTCTTCATTTGGGTTGTTCTGACCCTTGAACTCTCCTGAAGATTGAAAGGCTTCCCGAAGCCCGCGAAGGTTACTGAACTCTAGGCACTCTAAGCTCTAGAGCCTTAATGCTGCGTCTAGGGCCCTGCTCGTGTATATAAGCTATCTTTGGAAATCGACAAGTCATGTCGGAGTCACAAATCGGAAGCAAAACTACTAAATCCGGGATGGGGCAACCATTCAAATCTGAAAAGCTTTTGGGTTTAGGGACGTAGGGCTTTATGCGTTGATTTTCTACCTGCAGCTTCACGCTCCTTCGGCCTTCTGCACACTGCCACGGTTGGTTTCTGCACCGGCGACTGCGAGCAATGGAACTTGACGGCACGCTGCCCCCTTAAAGCCTTCTTGCAAAACCCTACAGCCCTTTCTTTTGAAACTCACACTCCGACAAGCCTGGCAAGGTCTGCAGGGTTATAGGGTTTAAGGATACGGTACAACCCAAAACCCTGCAAACACCAAACCCCTCCTACTCTGCCCTAAACCCTAAACCTATACTCTGGCTGCAGCTCACGATGCGGCTACGGCAGGCGGAGCAGGGTTTGCATGACCTTGGACGCAGTACGGGGCTTGAGTGAAAGGGCTGAGGGTTCAAGGTTCTGCCTTTAGGATTGCCTAACACCCAGCAAGGACGAGCCCGCCTTGCAGGGTTTAGGGTTTAGGGGAGTTTAGGGTTTAGGGCTTGGGGTCACAGTTGGGTAAAGCGCTTAAGGGGCTGAGGGCTCGCGAGTCGGTTTCCAGACAGAAACCCATAAAGGTCCGGAGGACCCAGGAACAAAGTACTCAGTTAGGGTTTAGGGTTTAGGGTTTAGGGTACTCAGGTTTAGGATAGCTGGTATGTAGGTCTATTTATGGGGGAGTATATGCTTACTAGGTACTTGGACCATTAAGGAAAGGAACACCTCAAAGCTACAACAAAGCACTAAGGAGAAGGCTGGCTGACGCACCTACGAACTGCCGCCTAAGCTCGTCGACTATACAGTGAATTACAAACCTCAGGCAGTGGCTCCAGAATGCCGAAACCAAACCATCTCGTACTGCTTTTCTTGAAGTAGGTGGAAAATCAATAGACATCACAAGCAGGTGACAGCCGGTCGAACAAGTACCCCTCACTTCTCCAGACTCAGAAGACGCGTACTTATGGCCCGTGGCTTCTCAGCCCATGCACTCTGCACATCTTGCATGTGCTCTGCCACAAAGATAACGAGCAGGCCATGGGGCTGTAGCTCAAGGGAAGCAAGCCTGGCGCATCCAGCACCCGGATCACCTGCATGCCAGGGTCCTAGACCCTACACTCGTAAGGGGAAGGGGGGGCGGGGGACGAGAACCACTGAGGCCCTCCATCATTCAAGCCATAGACACCAGCCAAGTCTGCAGTTCAGGACCCTAACCCCCTGAATTAGGGGTTTAGGGTTTAGGGTTTAGGGTTTACAAAACCCTAAACCCGAAACCCAATGCCTCAACAAATGTCAGATGCTAAACGCCCTGCAGACGAGATCCGAAAACCTCAAGCCCGACGGAAGCAGATTTCATCTGAACCATTACGTTCGTCTGCTTTGGGCTTTACCATTAGGCCCCATAGTAGTTCCTTTCTGGGATTGCCTCATAAGATCCAAAATATAAGCCACAAAAAAGGAACTACTATCAGGCCTTTGGGTCGTTAGGGGTCTTAACATTGAAGGTTATTGGGTCTAGGACATTTTTAGGTGGGTAGTTACAGTTATAGGAGCCTTATAGAAGGTCTATATACCTTATGGAAGCCTTATAGAAGCCTTATATACCCTAAACTCCCCACCTGTAGTTTCCTTTAATTGGGGCATCGGCTCCAAACGACCAGCTTGCCCACCAAGCTTCGGAGCTGCAAAAATCAGGGCCAAGGCGGTTCCCAGATGTAAGGTTTAGGGAATAGGGTTAAGGGTTAAGGGTTCAGGGTTTAGGGGTTTGGGGGTTTAGGGTTGGGGGTTTAGGGGTTTAGGGTTTAGGGGTTTAGGGTTGAAAGCTCAACCCCTCAAGACCCAAAACTCCAAAACCCACCCTAAACCCTAAACCCTCTTTTTGCATCCAGGACCCTAAACCCTAAACCCTCAAACCCCCCAAAACCCTGAAGCTCGTGGAACCATCCTCGGCCGCAGTGCTGCCGATGTTGGCCAGGCCTTTAGGGTTTAGGGTTTAGGGTTTAGGGTTACTACAAAAAGCTACCGGCAAGGGCTACTACAAGGCTTGCTATAAAGGTTTCTGATAAGGTTTACTATGAGGGTTACGATAAGGCTACTGCAGGGTTGCCGATAAGGGGAGGACGGTGCAGGTTCTTCAACTGGGTTCTGAAAGACTTAGTATGATCTCAGTGGGTTAAATATAAGGGCCTAAAAGATCCCAGTACTATTTTGGGGGCTGCTTAGTATAAGTATAGCATAATATACCCCCCAAAACCCTATTCTAATCATTAAGGCCCCTAGTAGAGGACTCCTGGCTTTCTGAATTGGAAACAGGCCCTAAGGCTCCATGTACTCATATAGTAGATACTTAGACCTTAAAGTACCTATATAGGGACCCCTCTAAGGCCTAGGTATCTACTCTGAAGGTACATGGAGCCTTTGGGAGGATATGTGTACAACGATAAGATATTTTGCCCTCTCACGTGGCCAGGACGATACCCACACAGCGAGGCCCGTTCGAAAAGTTACGCGATGCATGCAAAACATACCGTCAGCATCTGTACCGGCCACACCTCACCCTACATGTCGGTATCGTGAGCATCTGCTGGCATGCGTTGGCATGTGTTGGCATACTCAGACATTCAGGCCATTCAAAGCCACAAGCTCAGCTCAATGCCAAAATTGCTTAACATGCATGATCAACAGTCGTCCAAAATACAAACCAACTTTGGTGTTTGCGATCTGTGACAGACTGCTGAACAACTACTAACTACTATAGCACCCGGGTGTAGCTCTGACGACAATTTCTTATGATCAGGCAGGGATGGTTTTGGGTACAGCGTTTGAATCTCTCGAAAAGGCATCGTTTGCTCACGTGAATAAGAACATAACACCAACCTTGAAAAACAGTTGAAACAGCCTGGTGCCCAAGTGGCGGTAGGTCCACTCTGGGATGTTGCCAACACCCAGAATCTCGCACACCTGCTGGATTCAAAATCCTCTGGGAACTTGCTTCTAGCTTTCGACCGCGCACTCCCGCCGATTGACATCGCGCCCTTAACCCTAAACCCCAAACCGTGGGGAGGGGTTCACTAGACAAAACCATATGCTTCCTGATCGGCTGGGCCTCGTCAGCAAAGTGGCAGCAGTTTCGTCGGAAGACGTTATAGCTTGGCCCACTCCACTTGATTTCCTTGCGCTCAGGCTGGGCGAGTACCACGATTAGTAGCAACAGTAGTGGACGCCGTCGTTGTCCTAGTAGTGGTACTGCAGTCACTACTGCTTCTACGACGTACTACTAGTGCATACTAATGCCACGACATTCGCGACGACCGGAAGTTGTGACTTGTTGCTTTTGCAGACCATGCCGTCGTTTACATTATGGATGCTGAGCTGAGGTGCATGCAGCCTCTTCCGCACAGCATTCCCTTAATGCAACAGCCATGTCATGTGTTACAAGATGCTGCCTGAACATTATAAAAATTATAAACTATGGTCGGGGGAATGTTCTACCATCTCGGAACATAGTAAATCCGGGGAACCAAAGTCGTATAGAAGGAATCTGATTACTGAGGCCCCTAGTTGACAGAGCTCTGTGAGGCGCAATCTTGTACTCTTGATCAATGCTGGCCCCACCCCTTAGGACTTAAAAGGCAAGTTTGGGGGCTGCCCTCAGGAATCTTTCGTTAATCGTACCGACCAGTGCCGACGAGGCGAAAGATCGTAGAAAAGGCTGTTGGCCCAGTTCTATGCGTTAGAGCTGGCATAGCTGACATCTGCAAAGTGGCCAGGCTTGTCATGACCTCCGCAATCTCCGTACGAGACAGCATCGTAGGTGGCCTCTGCGGCGACTTCACTTTGATTCTGCGTGCTAACCGCCGGAGTGTTCACGAGGGGGTGAGAACCGAGTGATGAAGCGAGCCCCACCCTGCAAAATAAGAGCTTCGTGCCTCTAAGCCCTAAGCCCAAAACCCTATAAGCCCTATAGATCCTAAACCCTATAAACCCTAAACCCTAAACGCCCAGAGCCCGTGCAATTACACTTCGATCTCCCGGCCTTTGCTTGTCAACTCGACAAGACTCGGCGTGGAAGTCTCATGCCATGTACCGACAGACTTGGAACCAGTGCACATTCCGGGCAATGGGCTATAGCGCACTATAAACACACTGTGTAATATACTGTTACATCTCATAAGTTGGAAGCCAAGACCCACTTCGCACGGGAGAGCCCGTATGGTGTAGCTTTGCCCCCCCCCCGCCCCACCCCCAGATGATTGAAGTTTTGGGCTCGGGCGCATCAAGTGCGAGCAGAGTTCTAGCTGACAGCTAGCCGTGCCGCCCGCCCACGGTGTTGTCCCTCTCTCTCTCTCTCTCTCTCGCCTTGCCGCAGGCTGGGCCATCTTGGCTCGTGCCCCGTCTCGTCACGTCCCGTTTTGCTTTTAGCAGTAGCCCCCAAAGAAAACACCCGTATGCATCCGCTCGCCACGGCTCACTCAGTCATGCATATATGTATGTACATATGGCAGGCAGTTTTACCAAACGTAGTTCTGCATGTAACTTATGGTATCAGTATGTATCAGTGGTAAGTAGCTATAGCATGCCAGGCTGCATGTCGATCGTCTCCCGAAAGTGGTGCTGTCCGGGAAACAGCGGTGGAGTCCTTTCAGGAGCCCCCGCACGACTCGGAAGTTGAGACGGGCACGTGCAAGACTTGATTCTCATCCATGAGAGGTCGTATAGGGCTTATGGGGCGCTGATCTAGTGTAGCTAGCGCAGGAAGTGAGTTCGGATGATAGCACTTTTCTTTCGAACCTTTCGGATGCTTGAAAGATGAAGGACAAACCAGTCCAGAAGACGCCGGTGCCGGAGGGCTTGTAGCCAAATGCCCACCTGAAGTAAGCAAACCACGACGCCTAGTACGATTTCTATTCTTCTAAGGCAAGACCTACCATGACAGCTCAAGACAAGGGAACACGAAGGACCTTTCCTGTTCTGAAGTGGCTCATACCGACTTCGCAAGCACCGAAAACTCCTCTGCAGCACTCAAGGCACAAAAGAGCAGCTTGGCATGGCACTGTGAAACTGCATCGGCGTGGCTCCACACTGCGACGATTTCACTTCCCGATCGGATCGTGGTTCAGCCACGCCGCTCCCTCGAGCCAATCTGCACGCCCACATGGAAGATGCCGCCTATGAGCAACTCTAAGGCACTCGGGCTGACCAGGTCAACAGCAAGCCTGCATGTCTGAAGTTTCAAGCTTTCATATGACGGGTCATCAGTGCATTAACGCGGAACACAGCTCTTGTGTCCCTGGCTTGAGTGGTGAACCATGCGCCCGGCAATTAGCAACGAAATGTAGGAGACAACCCGAGAGCGAGAGAGAGAGAGAGAAAGAGAGAGAGAGAGATCCGCGTCGAGCTGCCAAACTTCACTGGCGAATACTGGTTGGCGAAGAGGCTGTTGATCCACTGCACCTGGGAATCGAGAGACGGTCCAGGTGCAAGACAAACATCGCATCCAACAGTCCCTTTCATGAACTCTACAGCACAGCCCAACCTTGCGAATTGTCTCAGACCACTGCACAGTCGCTTCGTGTAAGCGACTCCAAGAGATGCGTCTGATGTGTTGAGACGGAGCGACTGTCAAAGAAACGAGCGTTCCTCGCTTCTTCTCATCCTCTGCTGAGAAAAGCTCTGTCGATAAGCCCACATCTATCGCAAGCATACTGCAGGGCTTTCATAATTGGAACAGAGTTAAATTAAAAGGTCTATTGGGAATAATATGGGTAATTCTTCAGGCTTCTATATTGGCCGAGCTGCAGTGGGGTTTGTGGTCACGTCATAGATGTTCAGCTTGACCGGAGTCTCTTCCACTTCCACCGACGGAGCTCTCTCTCTTGCATGGGTGGGGCTGGCCTGGGCCATTTTGGTGCAGGGTTTCGGGTAAGTAGGGTTTAGGGTTTAAGGTTTAGGGTAAGCCTCTTTAAGCCCACGACACCTCTAGCAGAGATTCCCACTGAGAATCTCGGGGAATTTCCAGCACAATGCGAAAATACCACTTTACTTCCCGTAATTGAACCTCGCGACCTTGCAGACCCGAATCCGAAAATCCTATTACATATCCAAAAGCTCCTGGACTGTAGACCCTCAACCCTCACGCCTAGAGTTACAACGAGAATAATGAGCACTCAGATCGCTAAAGCACCGACTGAACACTACAAAACCTAGGATCTGGCAACCCCCTGCAGCGAGCTGACCGGCGGTGAGTCCACGCGAGCGCGGGCCCCAAGCCACAGGGACTTCAGCCGTACCTGCGCTGGTGCTCGCGAAGTCTTCTCTCTGTCTGGTGCTGTTGGAACGGTACTGCTTTTCTTACTAACAGTCTTGTATTGTGCAGCTAAAACTGACCGCTAGCAGCGCCGTCTTGCTTTGAGGGTGGCGTGTGTTAGGATGTTCAGCGAAGCTCACGAGGGTTTCAATCACTCTTGTGCTTCATGCCCACCATCCAGTGCTGCGATCCACACAACCCGATCCAAGTTTCTTCGTAGCTACAGCAGGCGACAGAAATACGATACTCTACAGCGATGGACCATTGCCGGACTTCCTAAAGTCGAGCCTCTCATGCTGAGCTGTGTTACAGTGATTGCGCCTGAACAACAGTTACGGTGAACAACTTTACGCGCCCGTGGCCTCCGGCACCAACCGTGCACTCCACTTTCCTGTTTGCTGGGTTTTATTGCCCATGACCATCTGCACGCAAAGCCCAACAGGCGTGGGCTGCAGCCTAGGTAAGCCGCAGCGTGCGGCTGCATGCAACCCCGCTTTCACCTTGGAGTTGTGGGCCTATGGCCGATGCACAAGTGCCTCCCTGCCTTTCAGTTCATCCTCGTTGAAACAACCTATCTTGCCGAAGCGTCCCACACCCTGCCCAAAACAGATTCACTGCTCGGAATTTGGGCCTATTCAAGCCAAAACCCGGCTCCGTCCTCAATCTCCCGGTTCGTGTCCATCTTCGCTGACGTGGAAACCAGCCGGAGGGCGAAGAGCTCTTTGCAGGGCAGAGCCGCACAAAGTAGCTCATACCTTCGAACGGGGGACCCCCACAGACACCGTACCCGTAACCTTTGACTTCGAGGCCTTAGTACGGTTTAGGGTTTAGGGTTAGTAGTTTTAATAGAGTCTCGGGGTATCCTGCGCTGTATTGCAGCAGCTAGGGCCGGGCTTCGGGGGGGAAGGGATTTGATGCTTCTGTCAAGCTTACAATACAAGTTGCTGGGATTTATACGGTTTAGGGCTTAGGGTTTATTTATGGTCCGCCAGAATCCAGAACCCCAAAGCCCTTCGACCCCCAATCCCTCAACCGGTCATTCGGGGTTGAGTTTACTCTGAGCATGGCGTGGGCTAGGGTTTCACCCGGCATGGTTTCACATGGAACATGTCCTTTAGTGTAAACCGAAAACCAAGCAATCCCTGATTAATACCTCCCCGGACCTCCCCCAAGGTTGAGAGGGATTATGTTTACGATCAGGCCATTGAAAAAAGAGAGTTTTATTAATCAGGACTCTACATTAGAGGCAAGGTGGGTACAGGATCCGTTGCCCACCTCTACCTGGAGGTTGCGGCAATACGACTCCCTGAAAACGCACTGCGCAGTTCCACTGACGCTACCTTCTACTTACTTCTTTAGAGGAACTGGAGGTTAACCTTTGGGATGATGGTCAAAGGTTACCTACTCCACCTGTTTGATCACCCTTAAAAGATCCCTGGGAGGAGGCCCTGTACAGAAACATTTGCTGACGTATCGTGACCAGTCGCTTGATTATCAGAACAGGGTTTTGGGGTAAAATATCCCATACTTTGTGAAGGAACACCAAGATAGAGTTGCAGGTCATGATATAGGCCCCTATATGAAACTCAAAAAGCCCAACAAACCCTAGATCCTGATACCCCAAAAACCAGGGCTGGGCCCCGATATCCAACCCTGAACCCTCCACCCCAAAACCCAAAGCCCTAAGCCCAAAAAACCTAAACCCTAAACCCCAAAGCCCAAAGCCCAAAGCCAAAAAAACCTAAACCCTAAACCCTAAACCCTAAACCCCCAAGCCCAAAAAACCTAAACTCTAAACCCTAAACCCCAAAGCCCTAAGCCCAAAACAACCCTGTCTGTCGAATCGCGGCTGGCTTCCCAGCTCCAGAAACTTTGGCAACTCCTCGAGTCCTTTTGCAAGGCGCTTTCGGGTTCAGGGGTTCAGGGGTTTAGGGTTTAGGGTTCAGGGGCTTAGGGTTCAGGGTTTCGGGTTTTTAGGGTTTAGGGTTCAGGGGCTTAGGGTTCAGGGTTTCGGGGTTTAGGGTTTAGGGTTTAGGGGCTTAGGGTTCAGGGTTTCGGGGTTTCGGGTTTAGGGTTCAGGGGCTTAGGGTTTAGGGTTTAGGGTTTAGGGGTTAGGGTTCAGG